AATTCAACTATTTAGCTTTACAGGAAGATAAAATACAACAACAACAATTCAGCTATTTAGCTTTACATGGTTATAAAGTACAACAACAACAATTCAGCTATTTAGCTTTACATGGAGATAAAGTATAACAACAACAATTCAACTATTTTGCTTTACAGGAAGATAAAATTCAACAACAACAATTCAGCTATTTAGCTTTACATGGTTATAAAGCACAACAACAACAATTCAGCTATTTAGCTTTACATGGTTATAAAGTACAGCAACAACAATTCAGCTATTTAGCTTTACAGGAAGATAGAGTATAACAACAATACTTCAGGTACTGTTTATTTTTTATTTTAGACAAAATTAATATGATTCGTTTATTATCGGAACAAAGTAGAAAAGCTAATATTTGTTCTTTGTAACGAAAGCAGAGAAGATGTGTTAAGATATAATAACAGAAACATTTGGTTAAGATTCTGTGTAACATACATTTTCAGTATTTACCAAGAAGGAAAGGCATCCGATGTGAATTTCTAATAGTAATAGACATATAACACGACATCCTATCATTTCTGTCAAACTTGCTTGACAAGCGAATGCTCTGAAACTTGTTTTGTCCTGTAAATTGTCATAAAACCACGTGAATGTGCAGTACATTTATTAATGTGTTTTTTTACTGTTCTTTAAGGTCTATTTGTTTTTCATTCAATATAAAAATATTTTCTAAGTTTGTGAAAAAGTACAAAATGTCTACAAATCATTGTGAGTAAAACATCGGCGATAGAATAAAGGTATGCCTCATCATCGTCGACAGAAACCAGTGTTTCATTATCTATCAGTGAAATATTTCATTACCATCTATAATTTGATATAAAGTAACAGACATATTCTATCAGTATCTATAGAATTCTAGCCATGTTTTATCGCCGACAATAGAAAATACAAGTTTTTTTCTATTTCGGGTTATAGAATATGAAAGTTTTTTTTCTATTTCCGAAGGTTTGTTTAACTTCCAGTTATAGAACATATAAAGCTTCATCTACTTCCGGCTATATAACATATAAGGTTTGTTCTTTCTCCGGTTATATAATATACAAGATTTGTTCCACTTCCAGCTATAAAGTACACAAGGTTTGTTCTACTTCTGGCTATAGAATAAAGAAGGCTTGTTCTATTTCCGGTTATAGAATATACAAGGTTTGTTCTACTTCCGGCTATAGAATAAAGAAGGCTTGTTCTATTTCCGGTTATAGAATATACAAGGTTTGTTCTACTTCCGGCTATAGAACATATAAGCTTTGTTCTATTTCAGGTGATAAAACACACAAGGTTTGTTCTATTTCTGGTTATAGAATATACAAGGTTTGTTCTACTTCCGGCTATAGAACATATAAGTTTTGTTCTATTTCAGGTGATAAAACACACAAGGTTTGTTCTATTTCTGGTTATAGAATATACAAGGTTTGTTCTACTTCCGGCTATAGAACATATAAGCTTTGTTCTATTTCAGGTGATAAAACACACAAGGTTTGTTCTATTTCTGGTTATAGAATATACAAGGTTTGTTTTGTTTCCGGTTATAAAATATACATGGCTTGTTCTACTTCTGGCTATAGAACACACAAGGTTTGTTCTGTTTCTGGTTACAGAAAATAAAATACTTACCTCGTGTACTGTAGCTGATTATACAAAATCAAATATTCTATAGAAAGAGACATGACATTTTTTATTATGAGTTAACGGTGTTCTCCACGCTGCTCTTCCGTTTCACATATCCTTAAGGTATTTATAGAGCCACTAAGCAAGGTTTAGAAAGTTTATAAAATCTGTATTTGAACAGTCTCATATCTCAATAAATTCTACGCCTGAGAACCAGGCATTTGTTTGAGATGTAACGAAAAAGTATTTCCTTTTATAAACATCGTCAGTGTCTTAAGCAACACGAGTATTAAGTTAAAGTATACCTTAAACAAATACTCTGTTTAATTTCTCTTAATTATATTTAAAGTGTACTTTATCCACAATTCTTTGTATGTGTATAACTAGGTTATATCTACCTAACAGCAGGTGTATTACTAGGTTGTATCTAGTCAGCTGCGGGTGTACTAGCAGGTTATATCTAGTCAGCTGCAGGTGTGTTACTAGGTCGTACTTAGTCATCTGCAAGTGTCTTACTAGGTTGTATCTAGTCAGCTGCAGGTGTATTACTAGGTTGTATCTACCCAGCGGCAGGTGTATTACTAGGTTGTATCTAGTCAGCTGCAGGTGTATTACTAGGTTGTATCTACCCAGCTGCAAGTGTATTACTAGGTTGTAGCTAGTCAGCTGCAGGTGTATTACTAGGTTGTATCTACCCAGCTGCAGGTGTATTGCTAGGTTGTATCTAGTCAGCTGCAGGTGTATTACTAGGTTATATCTACCCAGCTGCAGGTGTATTACTAGGTTATATCTACCCAGCTGCAGGTGTATTACTAGGTTATATCTAGCCAGCTGCAGGTGTATTACTAGGTTGTATCTAGTCAGCTGCAGGTGTATTACTAGGTTGTATCTAGTCAGCTGCAGGTGTATTACTAGGTTATATCTACCAGCTGCAGGTGTATTACTAGGTTGTATCTAGTCAGCTGCAGGTGTATTACTAGGTTGTATCTAGTCAGCTGCAAGTGTATTACTAGGTTGTATCTACCCAGCTGCAGGTGTATTACTAGGTTATATCTACCGAGCTGC